CATCGGACGTGGTTGGTTGGATTTTTGATCAAAAATGAAATTTGGAAGTTCTTAAAATTGTTAGGCTTGAATCCGATGCAAATTTGGTGTTTTAATGTTGTTTTGAGCATTCTGAAGGTTGGAACAAGTTTGAATGAATAATGTTATGGGATATGTTGGCGTGTTTGGTTGAGGTCCGAGGGGCCTCGGGTGTGTTTCGGGGTGGTTTCGGATCATTTCGGGCTGTTTTGCAAATGGCTGAAGCTGGTATCTGGTATTGTTCTTCGCGTTCGTGAGGATCCCTCGCGTTCGCGAAAAGGATTTGGCTTCTGGGGTTTTGTTTCTCGCGTTCGCGGAGAGAGCCTCGGCGTTCGCGAAGAAGAGGCAATTCTGTTGCGCAGGTCTTACTTTGGAGGCTCGTATCTCTCAATCCACAATGAATTTGGTGATGATTCAAAAAATGAAAGTTGTAGCTCTTTGAATCTAGTTTCCAAACATATTATAGTAGTCATTGGAGTTGTGTGTAAAAAGTTATGACCATTACACTAGAGGCTGTCCGAGCAAAGTTTGAAAAATGAATTTTTTGGAACTTTGTTCTTCGCGAACGCGAAGAACAAATCCCTGGGCAGCAGAATAAAGTCCAAACTTCGTCCCATTGCCATTTTTGACATTTGGAGCTCGGATAAGGCGATTTTCGGGAGATTTTTGGAGAGAACAACGGGATAAGTATTCTTAACTCAATTTTGGTTGTATAACTTGAATTATCAATAGTTTGTGGTGTTAATCCGCGAATTTTGTTGGAAAGTATAGAAAAACCCTCTTGGATAGAATCATGGATTTGAGGATCGAAATGTTATGGGAATTGGATAATTTTTGTATGGTTAGACTCGTGGCGAGATAAGGAATCCGATGATGTGAATTTTATAATTTTTCGAGAAGTGGGCCCGGGGCTCGGGTTTTGCTAGTTTCGAGATCTTTGCTATTTTTCGATTGTTTTCGATTGGGTATTGTGTTCCCTTGGCATATTGTGATGTATTCGCTCTGAGTTTGGTTAGATTCGATGCGCGTGGAGGCCTATTCGAGGAGAAAAGGCGTCACGAGCTAGAGATTTCGCCGGTTCAAGGTGAGTAATACTTGTAAATGATATCCTGAGGGTTTGAAACCCCGGATTTGCACATCATAGTGCTGTATTGAGGTGACTTGCACGCCGGATAGCGAGCGTGGGGTAGAGCACCGTTGGGGATTGTGACTTGGTCCGTCCCGATTGATGAATTTTACCGCGTATTTGACTGAAACTACTTGTTATCATCATAATTTGGGCTGATTGCCATGTTTCGGCTTCGTGCCAACTATGTGAATCCTTCAGGGATTGATATCACTGTTTTCGCATTACTTTGCATATTATTTGATCTCGGTCCAAGGTTTTAATACTCTTTTGCAAACTCAGCCGTTTTTCTAAGATTTGAAAACTGAAACAATATTTTATTGACGTTTTGAGCTGAGAACTACCATGTTGTATTGCCCAAGTGGCTTATGTGCATTTCTGGACTGAGCATGGATCGGGCTGCGCGCCGCAGCAGTGTTACATGTGCATTTCTGGACTATGGATGGCTCGGGCTGCACGCCGCACCGGTGTTACATTGATTTTGAGGCCAAGGGCCTGGTTGATGCCACGAGATGGCTTGATATTGCGCTTGGGCTGTAGGAGACCCTCCGGAGTCTGTACACACCTCCAGTGAGCGTCGTCGACGTTAAATATGGATGGCTCGGGATGCACGCCGCAGCGGTCATATGCATTGCATTGCACTCATGCATTGGTTCCTGTTTGTATTACGTGTCATGACATTCAGCACTCGCATTTCATTGGCTTCTATGCTACTTCTTGCACTGCTTACCTGATACCCTGGTGTTATTTATTGATGGAGTGTTGTGCCCGAGGGCCTGACTTATGTGTTGACTTGCACTATCTGTTTCGCATTCATTTGCTTAATTGTTGAAAAAGATATTTTCAAAAGAGGTTTTAACTGAGCCCAGATAGATTTTCTAAAGGATTTCACGGTTTTACTTTGTTTTCTCAAAGGGTAGCACTGTTCTATATAGCATGATGGAGTGCCTTTCGTGATTTCTTGCTGCTCAGTTATTATTTTCTTTATTACTCACTGAGTTGGAGTACTCACTTTACTCCCTGCACCTCGCGTGCAGATGCAGGTATTGGTTACCCGGTAGCGGGTTTGAGCTGGTTGAGGATTTGCTATCGTAGCTGAGCAAGGTGACCGCCGGCGTTCGCGGCACCGAACTTCGTCTTTTGATTCTAAACTTTATTCTGTATATTATTGACCCTGTGGTCGTGTTCAGACTTCCTTAGATGCTCGTGACTTGTGACACCCCGGTCGGGCTGTGTTGGGTCGTATATATATCGATTGTTATTGTCATTAAGTTGTATTTATCTAATCATTTATGTTTAAAAATTTTTGAAAGAGGCGTTGTTGTTCTGTTGGCTGGCCTTGTCTTCACGAGAGGCGCCATCACGACCGGGTTGGGAATTGGGTCGTGACAGAAATGTTATTAAGTGGATTAATGCTGTGTATTCAGACTCAAGAACATACCCTGCCTGAGATATATGGCTACAATAAGAATATTCTCCTACAATCATTTTATTTCGTTTTATGGGGTCACAGCAAAATAGTATATTATGGATTTCATCATCCCAATATTAGGCAAATGACTCCTGATTTGCTCTAAACTAATTCATGTGTACATGGGAACATCTAATCATATTTAGTGGTTTTCATATGGAATAAGTTCCCTTTATCTCTTCAAAAATTGTTTAAAATAATACAAGAAAAGTAAAGGAAAAAATGCCCACCAAGAGGTATGGTCAATAGCCCCTAGTTCAATGGTGAGAACGTAGAACATGATGTGCGGATTAGGCGTATGTATTCGAGCTCTACGGCGATCAAAAGGTAGAGAGGCAAGCCCATTTGTGATCTTCCATTTTTACAGTTTTTGCTAATAAACAATGAAGAATGACTTAGCCACCAAATTAATGCACTCATCTAGTCAATTTCGAGGGGTGGGGTGGAGTGAATGGAAAAACAAGCCAAAGGTAAATGACTCCTGATTTGAACGAAACTAATTCTTGTGTACATGGGAACGTCTAATCATATTCAGTGGTTTTCATATGGAATACAATTCCCTTTATCTCCTCAAAAATTGTTAAAATTTAAAAAAATAAATGAATAAATAAATAAATGAGAAAAACACCAAGAAGTATGGTCGTAAGCCCCAGTTTAATGGTAAAAGCATAGCACATGATGTGTGAGTTAGGCGCACGTCATTCGAGTTCTTCCGCAAATAAAAACCTCGCATTTAAATAGAGAAACGTAGAGGGACAAGCTCATTCTTGATATTCCATTTTCACAGTTTTATTGCTAATAAACATTAAAAATGGCTTTACCACAAAATCAATATAATGCACTCATCTAGACAATTTTGAGGGGTGGGGTGGAGTGAATGAGAAAACAAGCCAAAGGTAAAATACTAAAAAGGCTCGTAATATGTTAAACCAATTGTTATATTGTGGAAAACTCAGCTAATGGCCAGTTGATAAAAGGTAAGACGCCAGCATTTAGGTAGCAAAGATGGTTAAGTAAACAATATGGACAATTACAATTCCTCATATATATGGGTCCCTTCTACCTCAATTCAAGTGGATTTCGACTCATCATTATTTAAATAATGATCAATTACATGCTTTTAAATAATTTCTAACTTTACAATTGACCTAGATTTCGTCATCCATCATAGTATGTGATTGGCCATTAGAATATTGTTCTCAAATTGGATAACCTCTTCTAAAATTGACTTCCAATTACTATTTCTCATCCCCCTTCTTCCATATACATATGCATAATAAAGTTGTCTTTCTTGTAACCATTATATGTACTAAACAATAACTATACCTCAACAATAACTATACCTCAATTCCAATCAAGTCGAGGTCGGCTAAAGTATTGTGAGAATTATCACAAATTGAGTAGTTTTGCCTTGGTTATCAACCTACCGCAATCCTCCTACTTTATCCATGTTTAACACCAATAATGTGAGCAAGACAGTGTTATCAAAGTCGAAAAGTGCAAAAAAACCCTAAGGTTTACTTGGGCTTTAAGCGTAAAGCGTAAATAAAGTGTGAGCTCTAATGAAGAAAGACTCAAATGGAGAAAAACTACAAATATATACGTGTAGTCCAAGACTAATATCTATAAGCATGAATACTATATTTACAAAGAATATGAAGAAAATTTACGATAAAGTGAAATATAAATTATTTAGTGTCGCCACTTCAGGATTACGCTCAGGGGCGGATTTATAGGGTAAAATGCGGAGCACGTGAACCCATGGTCTCTTTGCAAAATTAAATATTTTATGTATATATTTTCTAATACTAACTGTTGGCATCCATACTCCAAGAAGGTTGATGGTGCACTTGGTTGAAGGTTGAGTTATTTATCAAGAGGAAGAAGGATCAATTCCCACTTAATACATTTTTTCTCTTCTTTTTAGTTGTGCACCCATGTACTAGAAATCCTAGATCCGCCTCTGATTACGCTCATTGTCAAGGAAAAGGTCACTTTATACATTTTTTTCTCTTTTTTTTTTAGTTGTGCACCCATGTACTAGAAATCCTAGATCCGCCTCTGATTACGCTCATTTGCAAGAAAAAGTATACCTTAGAGCCTTGATGATAATACTAAAGCGCCCGCTAAGTGAGGCGAAACGCTGAACATGTTTTGAGCCCCGCCTCAGGGCTTAAGCGCACTTTAGCGCGCCTTTGATAACACGGAGCAAGGTCATACATGCATGCGCATACATATAGAGATGCACCATGAAACCTATCATATATATATATATATATATATATATATATAAAGAAATTACAAACACATTAAATAACACATGCCACTCACCTAGCATGCATACATGATGCCTTTACTTTGATGTTGCTTCCAAAATTGATGTTCTGATTTCTGATTATGTAAGCTCCTCTGCTATAGTTTCAACTCTGTTGTTGCTGAATCTTGGCCCCACTTTTCAAGCCTTCTCCTCCTATAAAAACCCTTCATTACATAACCAATGCTCTCCTACATTCTCAGCTTTATCTTCAAACTGAAGCCTCTTCAAACTATATTACTATCACTTACTTATTACCTTTCATATACAATTAACTATGATTCCATCAGAAGCTGCAGCACTTCACTACTTTGCTTCTGAAAATACTTCACCTTTTCCTCTTGATTTCAACTTCATGCACAACAATTTACCATCACTACAGTTCAGCAGATACTTAACCAATCTACCAAATTATCCAACCACTTTTTCTGTTCATGATTTCAATAATCTTCCACCATCTTGCATCAGCGGTAACTCTACGTCTGATGAAGCAGACGAGCAGCAACTTAGGATCATCGACGAGAGAAAGAAAAGGAGGATGATATCTAATAGGGAATCAGCTAGAAGATCAAGGATGAGGAAACAAAGACACCTTGATGAACTATGGTCACAAGTTCTTTGTCTTAGGACGGAGAATCGTAATTTGATCGATAAGTTGAATCAAGTCTCGGATTGTCATGAAAGAGTCCTTCAAGAAAATGCAGAGTTAAAACAAGAGGCTTCCGAACTTCGTCAGATGCTTACACATCTCCAAATTAACAGTCATTTCCCTGATTTATTCGACCTCGACGATGTTCCATGCAACACTGCTCATCTCAAAGCTGAATCATCAAACCTATCCATCACTCCCTGCACAAATCTGCTTCACTGAAAAGAGAGAGAGAGAGCTGTTTTCTCTGTGTCATTTTCTTCATGTTGTTTATTTTACATGAATGGCAATGAGTCTTTATTTCAGCAAATGAGCATCATTTCATATATATCTGAATTTCCAATAACATCTTAGGACTATGTTACTCTTAGTTAAACCATTAATGTTTTCATGCATAATACTACAAGCTGTGTTTGGATAAAAAAAAGGACAGCCCGGTACATCTAGACCATAAAGGTCTATTGTACGCAGCCTTATCCTGCATTTCTGCAATAGGCTATTTCCACGACTTGAACCCGTGACCTCCTAGTCACATGGCAGCAACTTTACCAGTTACGCGAAGGCTCCCCTTCTATGTTTGGATAAGATTATTTGAAACATGAAATCACCAGTAGCTTGCCCATGATAAACAAAATCAAGATTTCCATGATTTCTTTACTTCAGTTTGAGAACCCCCACTAAGATCAGTCATAAAACAATCACCTGATATCAAAATCCTCCAGAACTCTTAACAGGAAGGGTAACAAGAAATAATTGAGTGGGGGAAGGGAGGAAAGAAAATGAAAGCACCACTATAAACATTTTCGTTTTTCTTCATGGATAAAAGAGAACAGCTTATGCAGCGAGTGGCCTCAGTAAGTTGAGCTCAGCAAATGGGAGGCCCAATTATTAGTCCTATTTTGCACACATTAGCACAAACAATGAGACAAACTGAAGTGGAGACTGCTGCTGATAGTGCTTCATTATTTAAGGACCTACTATAAGAAGCAAAAACAACTTGAAAAGGAAATCCACTATGAGAAACTACTGTTTTTAACTCGTCTGAGGAAAGAGGTTATCAGGTCTCAAACTGGTCTATCCAAATGTGCAGTTCATACAGAAGAGACCACTCTTTCAGTCATATGTTTCATAAACTCCCTTACACTCTCTTTCTTCCCCTCGGGGTAGCACGGTGCACAAGGCATCCCGCGTTCACGTAGGGTCTGGGGAAGGGGCGCACACCAAGGGGTGTGATGTAGACAGCCTACCCTAATACAAGCATTCGTGTCTATGTTTCATAATCTCCTAGAAATGTTTATTTTTTTACCGACAACGTCCTCTCACATAACTTTCTAGAAATCAAAAACTGCCTATCAGATTTATTGATCCATTCTAGCATCAACGTAACAGGTATATAGGAATTGGAGGCGCAGCCTAATGGTTGCAATTCCCTCCTGCAATGCAGGGTTCAGTTAACAAGAAGATGGACTTTCTCTAGGATTTCCACTAGAACAAGAAGTCAAGACACAAATAGATAGCAACTACTTTATCTTTTGTTGGTCAAACCGACTAATTATAGTAGAATAGCAGGGAGCAAAGCAAGCTACAGCTAGTAGATTGTATGGCTCAGTGAGGGTCAACGGATGCAGGGACGAGACGAAGTGGCTCAAGGACAAAACTGTAGGTCTGAACATGACCTGCCAACAGCAATTTACTTGAGCCTTCATCTCTTTAAAAGAAACAAATTTCCAGAACAGCAGCATTTTTAGACCTTGTTCTACCTTGAGAATTTAGACTAACAGGTTTCATATGCCAGAGAAAATGTCTCAACTCGTTACCTCCATGTTCATTAAGGTTCAAGACGCCATTACTTTGACAACAAATGTAAAATAACATATACAAGACTCTCTGCTGCATCCTAACGGCAAAAGATCAGTATAACATGATCACATGATCAAGAATGACACATCTGATATCTTTAACAAGCCAAAGTTACATACTATTTCCTCTATTTGGGGCACATGACCTTGTTTCATGACGTTTATGCCTGCCATGATATGAACAGACTAGCAAATATTTTACCTAGTAAATGGTTATCTACAACTCAGTTTTGCGGTGTCTAATACTTCTACCAATCACAGTATCATATTACTATCAAATAGTACCTCCTTTTTTAATCACATCAAAGGCCTAGAGAAGGATTATTTCCAAGGAGAAGCTAAAAACTACAACAACAATAACAACATACCAGTATTATCCCACACCGTGGGGTCTGGGGAGGATAGTGTGTATGCAGATCTTACCCCTACCTTGTGAGGATAAAAGAGGTTGTTTTCAATAGACCCTCAGCTCAAGAAAAGAAGCTATTTAAAAGGTATGAAAAAGGACTATCAAACTCGTCTCGAAGTGGCTAAGGAAGCACAAAATTTAGAGACACCTGATGTTGTATGTCATCTTGACCTAGATAATCCAGCGATCAGCTGTTACATTATCCCAATATTGGATTCAAAACTGCATTCGGATTCTTACATCTTAACCGGTTAAACTAACAAGAGTTCCACCATTTTAAGTTAAAACAGTAAATTTTCTCAACCCTTATGAACATGACATCAAGAATCATTACAGAGAGTTACACTTACATACAGCTTAGCCTCCTCATAGTTAATTTATATTACCAGCTGACTATACTTGTATAGTTGTATGCATTAGGGATGTGCATCGGTCGGATTGGATCGGATTTAGCACATTTCGGATTGTAAATTCGGATTTCGCATTTAATAAAATGCAATCCAAATCCAATCCGAATTAAATTGGATCGGATCGGATTTTAAAGTTTGGATCAGGTAAATATTTCGGAATTTCGGATCGTATTGTACGCCTTATTAAGGCTACTAACAATCTAATCGGCTACTGCGTTTTTTAAGGTTATTGCTATTCACCATTCTATTAAATTGAAAGGCAACAAATATCTTTCGTACCAATAGACAAAACAAAAGTTTCATAGCAAAATAAAATAAACTGAAATTCCAAACAAATGTCTAATAAGGAGAGGCATCGTTGTCCGTCTATAGGAAGGAGAGACTGAGAATGAGAGACACAAAGGTAAGATTTGATAGGAAGGAGAGACTGAGAAAAGAAGTAGACAAAGGCACAAAGCAATATGAAGAGAGGTTAGAGAGAGACTTCGATATTATCTAAGAAAAAAAGAGTCTAAAGAGAGGCTAATGAAATGAGAGACTTAACCATAAAATGTAAGTCTAATATTTATAAATGTCCATATAATTCGGATTTGGGATCGGGCTGGATTAAAATTATACCAATCCGAATCCGGTCCGAATATCCGAACTTTTAAAAAACATATAACCATTTCCGATCCGAATATCCGAAATCGGAAAATACGAATAGAATGGATCAGTTCGGATTCTCGGATCCGATCCAAATGCACTGCCCTAGTATGCACGTCCAAAAGCCAAAATCTTAAAATCCCAGAAAAGATATTTTCTTCATAAAGCCTTTTTAGCCATAAAACCTTCAAGATTTCCTTTTTACCGATCCGAATCCTATCCGAATATCACTTGGATCTAAGCTGCTTACGTATTACTCCTCTCATGTGTCTTAACATCTAATTTTTGTTATATTTGGCACTGATTCAACAAATTTTCTACTTTACCCCATTGCAGTTACTTATATATTCATTGCTCTACTTATTCAATCAATCAATTAACAATATCTCAATCTCAAACTAATTGGCTCAGTCCAATTCCAAGGTTTCATCATATGAAGACTATTTTTAAACTGACCAATAAAGCAATGCAATCCTCTTCCTTATCCAAAATCAAAGAGAATAAAAATTAGCCAACCAGGAAAATTCCAAATAAAAGTATTCACTTTTAAATACAGCTTTAGCACTATATATCCGTTCATTCCTTGACATAAAATTGAAAAATCAACTAAAAAGGCACAACTTAAGACCAAGCCAAATCAAATGAAACCTTGAAAAATAAAAACAAGACAACTAAGCCTCCACAAAGTTGGGTCGGCTGTATGAAAGTAAAAATTGCACGGGCGCACTATTTGGGAGCCCCTTTTTAACTTGTAGCCGCTTTGTCTTTCTGTTTGCACCCGTACCCGTTTTTTTTTTAAAAGCCATTTGAAAAGATCATTTTGCCCTTCCTTATTAAAAAGACTACTTTCTCTCCAAGTATTCGCTAGTCCTCTACTTTCTTTGTCTCCCTCTCCCGTTATTCGCGTTTTTTGAAGTTCTTCTCTGAAATCAAACGGTTTTCGTCGTTGTTTTTTATTTTTCAACTGCTAGTCGTCGTTGTTCCCACATTACAATTTAATCATAGGTACATTGCATTAACTTTCTGGGTTTTATTTTACGATTTAATTTCTGATTTTGGTTTTAATACTCATGTATTTATGATAAAATATTTTCTTAGGGTTTAGTTTGATAAGTGCATTAGTTTTACTTTTACGATTGTGTTTTTAGGTTTTTTGAACGAGTGTTTATGTTGTTAATGAAAATTCTATAATTTCTTCTGTGATTAGACGTTCAAATTTTTAAAAATTTTGAGAGTTAAACAGACGATACTATAGTTCAATGATATCTTAGATATGAGCTGAAGTTTTTTCATGTTTTGGCATTATTTTTGGATTTGAATTTGTGTTTTGTTTTGTGTAAAAATTACAGCATGTTTTTTTGCTGAATGTTTTGTGCTTGTAACTGGTGAAGTTCTGCTTTAGGAGCTGAAGTTTTTGTGTTTGTAACTGGTGAAGTCCAGCTTTAGGAGCTGAAGTTTTTGTGTTTGTTACTGGTGAAGTCCATCTCTAGAGCTGAAGTTTTTGTGTTTGTTACTGGTGAAGTCGATCTCTAGAGCTGAAGTTTTTGTTTTATACCTGTCGAACTTCAGCTCTATAGCTGAAGTTTTTTTGCTGAATGTTTTGAACTTCAGCTCTATAGCTGAAGTTTTTTTGCTGAATGTTTTGTGCTTGTAACTGGTGAAGTTCTGCTTTAGGAGCTGAAATTTTTGTGTTTGTAACGGGTGAAGTCCAGCTTTAGGAGCTGAAGTTTTTGTGTTTGTTATTGGTGAAGTCCATCTCTAGAGCTGAAGTTTTTGTGTTTGTTACTGGTGAAGTCCATCTCTAGAGCTGAAGTTTTTGTTTTATACCTGTCGAACTTCAGCTCTATAGCTGAAGTTTTTGTTTTATACCTGTCGAACTTCAGCTCTATAGCTGAAGTTTTTATTTTATACCTGTCGAACTTCAGCTCTATAGCTGAAGTTTTTATTTTATACCTGTCGAACTTCAGCCTTCCTATGTATTGAACTTTTAACTGATCTTTTTGAT